GCTTCGGGGGCGCGCTCTTCGTCTACCTCAACCGCAAGATCGTGCAGTTCATGCGCCGCCAGAAGACCATCAACCGCTTCCTGATGAAGAAGTAGGTGCCTCCTTGTCCCCACCACCAGTTCGGAGTGACCGTCCCCTCCGGGGTGGCAGGGCTGGGGCTGCACCGGTGTCACCCCCTCCTGTGCCACCCCGCCAGGCGCCTGCTGTTCCCCGCGCTGGTGACACTGCTCATCTCCACGCTGACCTTCCCACCCGGCTTCGGACAGTTCATGGCCGGACAGGTAGCCACAACGGGGCTGGGGGCAAACTGCTGGCCCTGTGGGCCACCAGCAGCACCCCCGGCTCACCCCTGCACCTCCCCAGCTCACGCAGAAGGACACGCTGGTGACGCTGTTCGACAACCAGACGTGGTCCAAGCGGGAGCCCAGCGATGAGTTCGAGTACATCGGCATCCTGGAGGCCTGGCGCAATCCCCGCTCCAACGTCTTCGTCACCCTCGTCGTCTTCATCCTCATGAAGGTGGGTGCGTCCTGCCCCGGCTGGCCCCGGCCGGTCCCCGGCTGCCACCAGCAGGCACTGGTAGGGGTGGTGGTGGTGCAGGAGGTGACTCCTGGATGCCACCGAGGAGGTGCTGGATGCTTGCCACCGAGGTGCTACCAGGAGGCACGGGGTGGCCACCAAGGTGGTGGCGTGGTGCCACCATCGTGCTGCCAAAGAGATCTTGGCCAAGAGCCACCGAGGTGCCCCCGGGGAGGTGCTGGCGGGGTGCCCCTGGGAGGAGGTGGCTGACCCACAGCACGGGGCCGTGCCCGCATCCTGCTCCATGGCTGGGGGAGAGCCAGGCCGTGGGGGGGCCACTGACGTGTGCCCATGTCCCCTGCACAGTTCTGGATGTCAGCCCTGGCCACCACCATCCCGGTGCCCTGCGGAGCCTTCATGCCCGTCTTCGTCATCGGTGAGAGCCCTGGGGCCCCCTCCGTGGGTGTCCCACAGCACATTTGGGGGCAGGAGAGGGGTCAGGTCCCCACGGCCCCCTCCAGCCCCTTTTTGTTGGGCAGGGGCAGCTTTCGGGCGGCTGGTGGGGGAGAGCATGGCAGCCTGGTTCCCTGATGGCATCCACACCGACAGCAACACCTACCGCATCGTGCCGGGGGGCTACGCCGTGGTGGGTAAGCACCGTGCTGGGGACGCATCGTGCCGCTGCTCGGGGGTGCTCTAAGGGAGCTGCTGGGGTTCGGGGTGAGCCCTGCCATCGGGGATGTCCCAAGGGTGTCCCAGGGGTGCGGGACACGGCCCCGCGGGCAGGCAGGCGGGCACCTGACGGCTGCCCCTGTGTCTCCCGGGGACGCGCGCGGGCGCAGGGGCGGCCGCGCTGTCGGGCGCTGTCACCCACACGGTGTCCACGGCCGTCATCGTCTTCGAGCTGACGGGACAGATCTCGCACATCCTCCCCGTCATGATCGCCGTCATCCTGGCCAACGCCGTGGCCCAGAGCCTCCAGCCCTCGCTCTACGACAGCATCATCCGCATCAAGAAGCTGCCCTACCTCCCTGAGCTGGGCTGGGGGCACCACGAGTGAGTGCCACCCCGCCGTGTCCCCACGTCCCCAGCCAGCCCTGCCACGGGGCAGGGGAAGGAGGGCAGTGGCACGATGTGGCCGCCACGCTGAGGCCACCGTGCCTGCCCCGGGCAGGAAATACAACGTGCGGGTGGAGGACATCATGGTGCGGGACATCCCCTACGTCTCCCTCAACTGCAAGTACCGGGACCTGCAGCAGGTCCTGCACAGCACCAAGATGAAGAGCCTGGCGCTGGTGGATTCGGCTGGTGAGTGGTGGGCAGGGGCAGCTCCGGCACGTCCCCGGGGTCCCCACGGCGCCGTCCCCTTCACCATTTGTCCCCTCTCTGCCGGCAGAGTCCATGATCCTGCTGGGCTCCATCGAGCGGGAGCAGGTGGGGGCCCTGCTGAGCCAGCAGCTCCATCCCCAGCGCCGGCTCCAGGCCCTGCGGCAGAGGGCACGGGCAAGCTTCGAGGACGGGCACCGGCTCTCTGAAGCCAGCGTCTGCTTCCAGGTGAGGGGGCTGCGGGGGTGGCCACCTTGGGGTGCCCCCACCAGGGTGCCCGCGTCCCCTGACCCCGTCCCTTCCTTCTTGCAGATCAACACTGAAGCCTCGTCCTTCGCCCCCACGCGCAGTGGCTCCCGCAAGCCCCTGAAGCCAGCGCTGAAGCGGGTGCCCAGCGCCCCCACCAACAGCCCCCCGGGTGAGTCTGTGCCCTGCGCCCACCACAGGACCCCCCCCATGTCCCCGTGCTGACCCCTCTGCCCGCCTGCAGCCGGCACTGCCGACACCTCCGGCATCGCCCTCAAGAGCCTCTTCTGTGCCAACACCGCTGCGGAGCCTGCTGAGGTGAGCGCTTGGTCCTGCCCATCCCATCGCTCTCCGTCCCCAGTTGACCTTTCCCATCCCATTCTTTCTCAATCCTACTTGAACCTTCCCACCCTGCCTATCCCTGCCTGTTCCTGCCCATCCCATCCCATCCATCCCAACATATCTATCCCATCCCATCCCATCCCATCCCATCCCACCCAACCTAACCTATTCCATCACAACCCAACCCATCTATCTCAACCCAAACTATCCAACGCAACCCAACCCATCCCTCTCAACCCAGCCTAACCTGTCCCATCCCAATCCAACCCATCCATCTCAACCCAATCTAACATATCCCATCCCAACCCAACCCAACATATCCCATCCCAACCCAACCCAACCCAACCCATCCATCCAAACCCAACCCATCCATCTCAACCCAACCTACCCAACCCAACCATCTCAACCCAAACTAACCTATCCTATCCCATCTCAACCCAACCTATCCCATCCCAACCCAACCCATCCATCTCAACCCAACCTAACCTATCCTATCTCATCCAAACCCAACCCATCCATCTCAACCCAACCCAACCTATCCCATCCCATCCAAACCCAACCCATCCATCCCAACCCAACCCATCCATCTCAATCCAACCTAGCCTATCCCATCCCAACCCAACCCATCCTAACCTATCCAACCCATCCTAACCTATCCAACCCAACCCAACCCATCCTAACCTATCCAACCCAACCCAACCTATCCCATCCATCCAAACCCAACCCATCCATCTCAATCCAACCTAGCCTATCCCATCTCAATCCAACCTAGCCTATCCCATCCCAACCCAACCCAACCTATCCCATCCCAACCCAACCCATCCATCTCAACCCAACCTATCCAACCCAACCCAACCTAACCTATCCCATCCATCTCAACCCAACCTAACCTATCCCATCCCATCCCATCCAAACCCAACCCATCCATCTCAACCCAACCTAACTTATTCCATCCCAACCCAACCCATCTATCTCAACCCAACCTAACCTATCCTATCCCATCCATCCCAACCCAACCCAACCCATCCATCTCAACCCAACCTAACCTATCCCAACCCAACCCATCCCATCCCCTCCCGACCGGCCCCTCCCTGTGGTGCCCCCCTAACGCCGCCGTCTCTCCCGCGTGGTGCCAGGCGCAGGGCACGGCCCCTCGCAAGGCCAAGCACGTCCGCATTTCCATCACGGTAAGCTGCAGGCAGGGCGTGGCTCCTCTCAGCCAATCAGGGGCCAGCCTGGATCTTCTCAACCAATCAGGAGCCCGGCACGATTCTGCTTGGCCAATCCCATTTGGCCCACATCTCCGCAGCCAATCTCAGCCTGCCCTGATTTCCTCTCGGCCAATCAGGGCGTGTTCACTCTTGATCCCAAATCCGCTTGGTGAATCGTAGCGCGACGGGGACCCCCCCGGCCAATCCCAGCCGCTTTCCTCAGCCAATCATGGCCCAGCCCGCCTTCTCTCCACCAATCACAAGCTGGGCTTGGTCGATCCCAATACCCTTCACCAACCCCACTCACCCCCACCTCTCCCACAGGAGGACATGGACGCGGGGGACCGGATGACGCCGGCAGAGGTGAGACCCCCGGTGCCCCAAATAGGGAGGGTGGGGGGGGCGCCCCTACAGCCCCACGGCCCCGTGATGGGGAGGGGCGGAGGTTTTGGGGTTGCTGTGCCCCACGGCGTGGTCCCCCCACCCCAGATCCTGGCGTGGGAGGAGCGGCAGCTGGACCAGCCCGTGGATTTCGGCAGCGCCCAGATCGACCCCGCGCCCTTCCAGCTGGTGGAGCGCACCTCGCTGCACAAGGTGTGCCTGCATCCCCCCCTTGGTGTGCACCCGTCGCCCCCCCGGTGCCCTCCCCAAACTCTGACCCCCCCCGTCTCCCCGCAGACCCACACCATCTTCTCGCTGCTGGGCCTCAACCACGCCTACGTCACCAGCATCGGGCGCCTGGTGGGCATGGTGTCCCTCAAGGAGGTGAGGAGCCACAGGGGGGCTGTATCGGAGGGGTTGGGGGGCTCTCTACTCACCCACTGATGGAATCGGGGTGCCCGCAGCTCCGCAAGGCCATCGAGGGCTCGCTGACGGCCAAGGGGGTGAAGGTGGTGCCGCCGCTCGCCAGTTTCCGCCGCCGCAGCAGCACCAGCGCGCCCGAGCCTGACACCACCGACCTGTGCCAGCTCTGGGACCGCCACCAGCACCACCCCATGCCCCGCGAGGCTGGGCCCGACGACGGTGACACCGACAAGTGACGGCGACGCCGGATACCCCACCATCACCGCCGCCACCCCCCGCGTCCCCCACTCGTGCGCCGGGGGTGGGCGCTGCAGGGTCCCCCCCTGTCCCCCGCAGGTGCCGGGGGATGCCCGCACCGGGTCCCGGCGTAGGGTGGGTGCCCTCAACCCGGCACCAGGGGTGGCCAGGTGCCCCCCCGGCCTGCCCACACCTCCCCCCACCTTCCCAACCAGCTCCTGGGGCTCCCCACATCGCTACCTCCACCCCCCCCAGCCCCGGTGCCCCCCTGGGCACAGCCACAGCCTCGCTGCATCACCCCCATGTAAATACAGAGATTTTTATATTAATTTAATAAAAGGACTTTATAAACAGAGCAACCACACCACAGCACATTGGCACTGGCCAAGCCTCCCCCCGGCATGGCCCAGGGTTGCCATCACTGTCCTCTCACTGGTCCTGCTCCCAGCGTGGCCTCGCTACGGTACAGCGGCTGCGGGGGCTCACCGGGGCGGGTGCCAGTGCGGCGCCGGGCAGTGATGAGCAGCATGCCGGCCTCGGTGAGGGCACAGCTCACCGACAGCGGGTCCGTGTCCTCAGGCAGCCGACACTGGTGGGTGAAAGTGTCACACACGGTGCCGTCCTCAGCCACCTGCGGGGAAGTGGTGCCAGCATGGTACGGCACAGCGCGGCACAGCGCGGCACATTATGGCAAAGTACGGCATGGTACGGCACAGCGCGGCATGGTGCGGCACAGTGCGGCACAGTTTGGCATGGTGTGGCACAGTATGGCAAAGTGTGGCACAGTATGGCATGGCGTGGCACAGTATGGCAAAGTATGGCATAGTGCGGCACAGTTTGGCACATTACGGCACAGTGCGGCATGGTGTGGCACGGTGCGGCACAGTATGGCAAAGTACGGCATGGTGCGGCACAGTGCGGCAGAGTTTGGCATGGTGCGGCACAGTATGGCATGGCATGGCACAGTGTGGCACAGTATGGCAAAGTATGACATAGTGCAACACAGTTTGGTACAGTGCGGCACAGTACGGCAAAGTGCGGCACTGTACGGCATGGCGTGGCACAGTTTGGCACAGTGCGGCACAGTTTGGCAAAGTATGGCACAATATGGCATGGTGTGGCACATTACGGCACAGTGCGGCATGGCGTGGCACAGTACGGCGTGGCGCGGCACAGTATGGCAAAGTACGGCATGGTGCGGCACAGTGCGGCAGAGTTTGGCATGGTGCGGCACAATATGGCACGGTGTGGCACAGTATGGCATGGCGTGGCACAGTATGGCAAAGTATGGCATAGTGTGACACAGTTTGGCACAGTACGGCATGGTATGGCACATTATGGCACAGTGCGGCATGGCGTGGCACAGTACGGCACAGTGCGGCACAGTATGGCAAAGTGCGGCACAGTACGGCATGGCGTGGCACAGTACGGCACAGTTTGGCACAGTACGGCACAGTATGGCAAAGTATGGCACGGTGTGGCACAGTATGGCATGGTGTGGCACATTATGGCAAAGTATGGCATGGTGTGGCATGGTATGGCACTGTGTGGCACATTACGGCACAGTGTGGCATGGCGTGGCACAGTACGGCACAGCGCGGCACAGTACGGCATGGTGCGGCACAGTACGGCACAGTTTGGCACGGTGCGGCACAGTATGGCAAAGTACGGCATGGTGCGGCACAGTTTGGCACAGTGCGGCAGTTTGGCACAGTATGGTAAGGTGCAGCACTGTATGGCATGGTGTGGCACAGTTTGGTATGGTGCAGCACAGTATGGCTAAGTACAGCACAGTATGGCATGGTATGGCACGGTGCGGTACAGTATGGCACAGTATGGCAAAGTACGGCATAGTGTGGCACAGTATGGCAAGGTGCGGCACAGTACGGCACAGTTTGGCATGGTGCGGCACAGTGCGGCGCAGTACGGCATGGTACGGCACACTACGGCAAAGTACGGCACGGTGTGGCACAGTATGGCACAGCACAGCACAGCACACACCATAGCCATGCATTGTGGTCACTTCCAGTTACCCCAGTGCAAGTGTGGGTGATTCCCAGCCACCCCACCAGGGAGCAGCTCCCAGTTGCCCCAGTCTTACAACAGTGTTGTTTCCAGTTCCCCCATTACCCCAGTGGCCACTCCCAGTTTCCCCACTCTCAGCGAGGCCAGTTCCCAGTTCCCCCAGTGGCTTGCTCCCAGTTCCCCCCATGGGAGATGGGCACCACGGGGCAGAGCTGGGGCTTGTCCCCCACCCCAGGCAGTGGGGGGCTGTGTTTGGGGTACGGGGGCTGCCCCCCAGCTCCTCACCTTCTCGGCCCGGATGGCGACGTGGCCGTTGGAGGTGGTCACCACGATGTCGGGGGGCTCATACTGGCTGACGTCGGCCACCACCTGGTAGGTGTCCCCCTGGGCCCGCACCCAGGGGCCTAGGCTGCAGGGGTACATGGCCCCCGGGGACCCTGCGGGGACCGGTCATGGGGGTCGGCCAGGCGGGGGGGGGGCACAGCATTCAGGGGTATCAAGGGCACTGGGGGTGCAGGAGAGGCTGGGGACACTTTTGGGGGCTGGGGGTGGTGGGTGGCACTGGGGGTTGGAGACATTGGGAGGGCTGCACGGGGAGCTGGGCACCCCAGATATATGGGGCAGGGGGGTATGGGGTGGCCTGGGGGCACCCAAAGGCTGTGGGAGGGTCTGGGGGGGCATGGGTGGCCTGGGGACAGGTGGGGACACGGGGGATGGACAGGAAAATTTGGGGGGAGAAGGCTGGGGGAGGCTGCTGGTTTTTTTGGGACATTGCTGGGATGGAATGCCTGGGGACCTTGAGGGAGCACTGGGGGGAGGGGGGACGTTGAAGGGACTTGGGGGGTGTACAGGACTGATCCAGAGAACCTTGGGGTGCTCAGGGGGCAGGGCCAGGGCTCAGGACAGGAGGGTACAGTTCGGGGTCCCCCCCCACACACACCCCATACCTGGGTACCCGAAGGCGTCGTAGCAGGTACCGCTCCCCCTCGAAGCGGGGCTCTGGGTGCCCCTGGCTGTAGGTGCTGATGCGCTCGGCGCGGTACGTGGCGGCCGAGCTGAGCGAGGCCATGTCACCGTGCCGGTGCCACCAAGCCCCTGTCCCCAGCGCCCAGGTCCCCAGGGGAGGGGGCCGGCCGTGCGCCCGCCGCCGCATGCCCATAATTAGCCCGGTGAGGCACGGCCACCCCGGCCAGGAATGCGAGATAACGGCCGGGGCCTCTCGGGGGGACACGCAGGGGACGTGCCGTTGTCACCGCCACCCCGCCACCCCCAGCGGGGCCCCCCCCGGGGAACCAGGTGCCCCCCACCCGCAAGGAGAGGCAGCCGGTGCAGCGCTCACACCACTGACTTTATTGGAGGCCTGGCGGGACGGAGGCGGGGGTGCTGGGGGGCAGGCACCCGTAGGAACCATGGCACGGGGCTGGGGCAGCGCCCACGGCCCCTGGCACCCCGTGGGTACGTTCCGGTGTGCACACACGTGTGACACATGTGCAGGCACACACGTGTTCATGCACGCACACCCATGTGCTCGTGCACACGCGTACCCGAGCACTGCTCCGCACACGTCTGCGGGGAGCGATGCGCGCACCGAGCGAAGCCCCCACACCCCTCTTCCCCCATCCCAGGGTGGGTTTGGGGCCACGACTCCTGGATCGGCCTGCTGGGTGGCTGCTGTCCCCAAACAGGGTGGGGACACAGTGCCATCGCTGGCCCGATGGCAGGGAGCCACTCAGCGTGGCGGCCAGCCCCTGCGCCCCCTGGCAGGTTGGCCGTGCAGGGGTGGGGACCCACGGTGGGGACGGGGTGGCATAGGGCAGCAGTGGGGGGGGTTGGTGGTGCGGGAGTGAGGGCACATGGAGGGAGAGGGGCTGGGGGTGCAGGGGGGGGGGACACCGTGGCCGGGCAAGGGGTGGCATGCAGCGGGCGAGCAGCCCCACGAGAACACGTGCCATGCAGGAAGGAGGGGGGGCAAGCGTTGGCAAAAACTGGCATTCCTTCCCCAAACGGTGCGCCCAGACACCTGGGGGGGGCCCCGTGCCAGAGGGGGGGCCGGTTGCCCTTCATGTAGGCACTTGGTTCCCTGCTAGGGGTGAGTGACCTGGGGATGGGGACGTCGGCCCCGAGACCTGCTGCTCACCCCCCCCATGCACCCCAGGTTGGCCCACGGCAGACCTGGGGGGCCCTGGACACTGAGCCCCCCGGCATGTGCCCGCTTTGGGGCTGGCTGTGGGGTGCTGTCGCTGGTGGCCACCCAGCACCCAGCCTGGGGGGGCCGTGCCCACCCGGCCCCCACCCACAACCTCCCCGTGCCGGCCCCACGCGCGTACAAAAGTCGAGAGAGCCCCAGCACTGCGGCGCATCCACGGCCCCCCCGGCCCCACAGCAGCCCCCCGCCCCGAGGCAGCAGTTCACAGTATAAAACTCGGTCCAATAAAAGCCAGTGGGGGGCGAGGACAAAAGCCCCCTGCTCCCCAAAATCCCCCTCCGCAGTCCCACTGCTGCCAGCCCAGGGTGCGGGCGCAGGGCAGGGGCACCGGGGGCTGCCCAGAGAGGTTCGGCTGTGACAACTGGGGGGGCTCTGTGCCCAAAAAGGGGAGCCTGGAGCGGCGAAGGGGGGAGCATGCGAACAGCCAGCCCCCACAAATTCAGGTCCCGTCAGTCTTGGGGGGGCACGGAGGGGGCACGCCGGGGCGTTGGGTGGGGGGCTGACCCCCGAGCCCTTGCGCACGCAGTCCCTCCCTGGTTCTCATGCAAAAAACAAACAGATGAGGGCAGAGAGAGGTGGACGAGTGCGGCCGGGGGGGGCACACTGAAGGGGGGGCGCCCCTCTGTCCCCCCCAGCACCCTGCTAGCGCAAGGAGCCGCAGCAGGACCCGTCCCTCGCCCAGCACGGAGCTGGGCCGGGGCGCGGTGGCAGGGGGGCCGGTGCCCCGGCGGGAGAGGCAGGGTCCCCGGGGGGGCCTCACGGCTCCTCGGCCTCCTCCTCCTCCTCCTCCAGCGACACCACCCCGGAGGAGGCGACGTCGGAGACTTTCCGGCAGAGCGGGAAGTCCTTGCTCAGCACCACCTCGTCCTCGGCGGGCGAGAGGCAAGCCTCGGCGTAGGACACGGGGTACAGGGAGTCCTGGCACCGGAGCCGTGCCAGGCCCCGCAAGGCACTTTGGCTGGCCGGGGGGGGCAGCTTGGGCAGCAGCAGGTCCTCGCCCCCCAGGGAGCCCAGCAGTTTGGCAGTGAGTTCGGAGGGCGACACCATCTCCAGGCTGCAGAGGCTGGAGCAGAGGGTCTCGGGGGACAGGGTGTGCGAGGAGTCGCTCTCGGGCTCGCAGGAGCCGTGCCGCACGCCCAGCTGGCACAGGTGGCCCTGCAGGAGGTCTCGCAGCAGCGCGCTGGCGGGCACCGAGCCGGACAGCTCTGTGGGGAGCAGGGGTCAGCCCCGGTGCCATTCCAGTAAGAGCCACCCCCCCACACGGTGACACCATGGGGACGGTGCCCCCTTTGCCCGCAGAGAGCTCGGTGCATGGCACGGGGACGTGCCGGCACAGGGCACGGTGCCCTAAGGGGGTCACCGGGATGGGAAGCGCACCCGGGCACCCCGTTCCCTCCCACCACACGGCGCAGGTCACTGTCCCCACGGGTCCCCGAGGCACTCACCGGTCGGCTGGGAGCTCTCCGTGGAGGGCATGAAGTCCTCGTCGTAGGACTCGTCGTTGGAGTCGTCCCCGTCCACCGAGGACCAGGCGCGCAGCTTGGCCTCGGCGATGGCAAACTGCTCCGCCACGCCTGGCAAGGACAGCGCGGTCACCATGGGGGTGTCACCAACCCCCCCGTGGGCTCAGCAGGGACACAAATCAGCACAGCAGGGACGGGGAACGGTAGGGATGGCCCACTGGGGACGGGGCACAGCTCCCCATGGCATGGAGAGGTGGACAAAGGGACGGGTGGGGACGCGGGGACCCCGCGCGGTGCCCACCTGCGGCGAAGCGCGCCTCCTGCTCGCCCTCGCTCAGGTGGCAGTAGGAGCTGAAGGCGCTCTCCAGGGCGGCGGGCGGCTCCACGGGCTTGCACCAGCCCTTCCACTCGATGAGGTGGGCGACGCGGCCCTGCGCCATGGCCGTCGGCTTCGTCACGTGCTCCTTCACCACCTGCGAGATGCCTGGGGCGCCGCCGCGTCAGCACCACGGGGACCCCGCCGCCCTCCCTCCCCGGTCTCCCCCCCCATCCCCGTCCAACACCTGGCACCCCCCAGCAGTTACCGTGCAGCGAGGAGCGGGCCAGGGCGGCGATCTCCTGGATGGTCAGCGCGCGCCGCGACTTGGGCAGCATCTCGACAGTGTCTTCAACATTGACCTGCGGGGACAGGCAGGGTGTCACGGCCCCGTGTGTGCCACATGGCAACAGCCCGGGGGGGGCAGAGCACCCTCACCACGGGTACATCCCACCACCAGCTGCGTGTGCGTGTGTTTGAGCCATGTTAGTGCACACACGTGCTGTGCACACTTGCATCCTTACACACACACAGCACAAAGGCTTTCAGTGCACGAACTTGCATGAGTGCCCGCTCACATCACCACGTATGTGCACAAACACACCCCGTGCACCCCTGTGCCTGCACACACCCCCCGGCACTCGCTGCAGCCAGGTCCACCCTGCACTCACCGCACCCTCGTGTGCTCTCCGTGCACACTCCTCGTGCACAAGCACTGCACACACACATTGTGCACACACAAATGTGCGCTCACCGTGCACGCATGCAGCTACACACGTGTGCACGCCAAATGGTGCAGCCGATGGTGCCCCCCAGCTCACACACACACACACACTCTTGTGCAAGGCCGCCTGTGCCAGGCTCCCCGGTGCCCGCCGTGCCGGGGCGCCCCGCTGCGGGTCCCCGCTTCCCATCGGCGAGCCCACGGCCGTGGGGAAGCGATGCGGGATTTGGAGGCGCGCAACAAATTGAATTGCCATGGCAACGCGGCGCCGTGGACTGATTTCTCCCAGGATACAGCCCGGCTCGGGGCTGACGTCAGAGCAGCCCCAGCGCCGGCTGCGCGCTGGCAGGGCCAGGCAGGGCAGGCAGGCAGCGGGGCCCCCTGCACTCAGTGGGGCCGTGCACCCCGGCACGGCTCGGCACGGCTCAGCGGTACCTCGAGGAAGTCCTGGCTGTCGAAGGAGGCCTGGCGCAGCAGGCGGGGCAGCGGGGCCGGCCGGGCAGCACGCAGCGGCGACAGCGCTTTCACCTCCTTCCACTCCACGCACAGGGTGGTGTCCACGGCCACTGCGGGGAGAACCGGGGCGGCCTCAGCACCTCCATCCCTGGCAGGATGGAGGCTCCGGGCGGGCTCCCTGGGGCAGGCATCCCTCGCGCCACATGAGACCGGACACAACTTGTGGCAGGGATCCTTCCTTCCCCCCGCGGCGCTGCGGTGCGGGTGACTCACGCCCGGGCAGCTGGAGCGCCTGTGTCAGCGGTAACGCGCGGCACCCGCCTGGCACCGGCACCGGGCGCACGTCCCGGCTTGGCGGAGGTGTTGGGAGCAAACCCCAGCGGCGGGCACAGCTCGGGCTGTGCGCACCCGATGGGGGTGGGATGGGGATGGGATGAGGATGGGATGGGGAGCAAGCGGTGGCACCCAGTGCCAACAGGGGGACATGGCAGGGTGCCCCAGGATAGGGCCAAGGTAGGCAAGGGGGGTTTTGGGAAGGGTTTAGGGCCTGGGCCAAGCACTGGGTATGGGGAGGGGGTTGGTGCTCCTGCACCGCCTCCAATTCCCCATCCCAGGCACAGGAGGGGAGCAGATAAGAGCACGGACACCTGTGCTTACATCCCAACAGCCCAAAAACACCTGAGAGGGGTGCCCTCCCCCTCCTGCACTGGGTCCTCCACTGCTGGGGCCGGGGAGGGTCCCCATGTCCCTGCAGCCCCCTGGGGGATGGTGCAGGACAGCCCCATGGACCCTCATCCCCCCACACCGAGGTGGGCCCAGCTGACGTAAACTGGCCATGGGGTGGGATATTGGGGGATATGGGGGGATCACACCCCCCCAAATCCCCATCAGGGGGCAGCCCCTAGCTCCTGGGGAAGCTGCCAACAGCATCACCATGGCACCGGTGTGGGCAGGGGCACCCCTGGGACACCCCGGCATCGCCCCCCCCAGCACCAACACAGCCCCCACAGGCACCAGCCCCCAGTACAGGCTGGGATCACTGCACGGCCCCGCGGCCACCCACCGCCCCCCACCCCCCCAGCAGCACCCCCACAGCACCACCAGGGCACCCCGCATCCCCCGTAGACACCCACAAACCCCCCCATCCCTCACAGCCCCCCACACCCCAACAGGCCCCTAAACACCCCCCCAGCCCCTTCCCACCCCCCCCACCCCCCATAAGCAGCACCCCAAGGCCCCAACCCCCCCAGACCTCCACAGCCCCCACCCCCTCCATCCACCCACCCCCCCCCAGCACGCTCAAACTCCCCCCATCCCCCCCCATATCCCCAAGCACCCCAACCCTCTGCGCCCCCAAAACCCCACAATAACCCCCCCGCACCACCCCATCACCCCCTGGATCTCCCCAAAACCACCCTCCCCGTAACCCCCTCTCCCCCCCACGCCCCCCCCCGGCCCCGCTCACCCACCGATGGTGGTTTTGGAGCCGATGCAGCCCATGCTCCCGGGGGGGCCCCGGTGCGGGCGCTACCGCCGGCTCCTCGCCGCCCGCATCGCCCCCCGGCCGCATGGGCGGCCCCCGGGCGGGGTCCGCGCCCCCCGGACGGTGCTGCCGGTGCGGGACCCCCCCCCCTCCAGGGAGGTGCTGGACTGAGGGACCCCCCCCCGGAGGTGCGGGAGCCCCGAGCGGTGCCTGCGCCGGGCCGGGGAACGGGCACGTCCAGAGACGTCACTGCTGGGGGAGGAAGAGGAGGAGGAGGAGGAGGAGGAGGGAGGGAGGTGGGGAGGAAGAGGAGGAGGATGGGGAGAGAGGGAGGGAGGGGAGAGGAAGGCCGGGGAATGGATGGGGAGGGGTGGGGGAGGAGGAGGAGGGAGAGGGGAGGAAGGCTGGGAGGAAGAGGAGAGAGAGAGAGAGGGGAGCGGGGGGCTGAAGGCAGGAGGGGAGGATGGAGGAAGAGGGGGGCTGGAGGAAGAGGAAGAGGGGGAGGAAGGAAGGGGGGGACGGGCGGAGGAAGAGGAGGGGGCTGAGGAGGAGGAGGAGGAGGGGAGGAAGGCCGGGCACCGCGGAGAGCGCCGTGCCAGCACCGCGGACAGCGCCCGGCCGGCCTCGGGCTGGGGTTGGGGACCCCCCAGGGACACCGGGACCACCCCCAGGACCCCTGGACCCCCCCCAAAAAAGGGACACCCGGACCCCCAGCACCTCTCCCTGCATGGGGCCAGAGCGCTCTGAGCCCCCCAGGGCAGCAGGAGGGACCCTCCAGCAACACCCCCCTAAAAAAAAATCCAGGCTGGGGGCAGCGCAGCCCCCCCAGAGCGAGGAGCAGCCCCTGCTGTAGGGCATGGGGGGGGGATTTTGGTGGCAGCACCCTAAGGAGAAGGGGCACCCGCAGCAGGGGAGCTGGGTGCTTTGGGGCAGGCTGGTGCTGGCCCCAGGGCTGTTCACTCTGGAACCTACCGATGGCACCTTCACCCTGGCACGGGCACCGCGGCACCCCGGCGAGCAGGGCACAGGAGCAGATTGGGGAGTACCCCGCTTTCAAGGGGAGCTGGGGGGTAGGGACCCCCCCAGGGGATCTCTTGGCCTCTCCCTGCCAAATATTTCCCAGCACAATCACTGCCAGGGCTGCGGCTCAGGCTGCGATGTGGGGAGCAGGCGCTGGTGAATGCTCCGGGCACGCTGGGCTAGGGCCAGGGTGACTCAGCACGGGCAGCCCAACGCCAGGACGGGCAGCCCCAAGCCCCAGGACACCCTACAAGCACCCACAAAAGGGATCGGGCCCCAAAAACCCTGTCCCCAATTCCATCACAGCACCAAGACAACCAGGACAGTGCCAAAACCAAATCCCCCAAGGGCTTTATCCCTCCACCATCCATCCTTCCATCCCTCCATCCCTTTCCATCTCATGCCCAAACGCTGGCACAACCCCACCACTACCCAGAACCCAAGAAAAGGGACAAGAAAAGGGACATTTAGGGACAATTTCCCCATTCCCAACACCACAGAGGTGGCAAGGAGGAGGACACGGGGGGACACCCAAACACCGGAGAGCCGAGTGCCCCTTCCCTCCCATCCCGGGGGGGTACCTACCGTCTGCCTCGGGGTGCCCCTGCCTGGCACCCCCCCCCTGCCAGCCCAAGGGCCAAGGGACACGGGACAAGAGGGGCGCAGGGCCGGGCGGCAACAGCGGCACACGGGGGCGTTATTTAGCAATGTTCTTTTATTTCCAGTTTTTAAGGTGAAAAGATGCCTTTTTTTTTTTTTTTTTAAATCTTCAATTAAATACTCCATAAAGAAAAAAAAAAAAAAAAAGAAAAAAAAGAAAAAAAAAAGGCAAAAAAAAAATAATAATTATTTACAAATTCACGTGACCAGTAATTGAATCCTTGTTTTAATAATTACACGTGCGGCTCGTCACATCCAGCGCTCTATAAATACAGGGGACGCGGATGCGGGGCCGCCCCGTCGCTTGCCCAATTGTGGCCTTGAACGTTTTGGAGGGGGGGCTGGGGGCTCTGGGGGGGGGGCAGGGACTCAGCCTGGCCCCGAGGGAAGGGGTTCGCCCCCCCCCCTCCTCCCCGGCACCCTCCCCAGGTGTCATAGCAGGAGCTGGGGCGGGGGGGGGAATGATTTCTATTTAAAATAAAAAACCTTCGGAGGGGGGGGGGGGGGCTCCAGGCAGTGATGGAGGAATAGGGGGGGACAGGGGAGGGGGGAGAAATCACACTCCTGTCCCCAAACCAAATTTAATAAGTTTATATATATATATATCTCTATATTTCAGCAAGAGGTGGGGAGGAGGAAGAGGAGGAGGGAGAGGAGGGGGGGGGTGAGCGTGTCCCCGTCCCGTCCCCCCTCCCCGTGACGTGAGCCTGGGGGTGCTCGGCCCCGCTCCCGGTGCCCCATGGTGCCCGTGCTGGGAGGAGGGGGGGGGGGTAAAAGGAGGGCCCTGGAGCAGCCCCCCAGTGCCACCCACCTCCGTCAGCATCCATCTGTTATCACCGTGACAAACCAGTACGGAACCAGTACGGAACTGGGGCGGGGGGAGGAGGGAGAGGAGCAATAAAACAAGAGGGTGGGGGGGGGGGCGCAGCGGGACCCCCGACCCCAGTGTGAGAGAGCAAGTCCAGGGGGTCGGGGCTGGGAGGGGATGGAGTCGCACCCGGGGGGGTGCCCCCCCCCCCTTGCTGTCTGTCCCCCCTTCCTCCTCCTCCTCCTCCTCCTCCTCACGGGCTCTCAGTTGTTGTCCGACTCGTCCTCGGCTTCCCGCAGCCAGGTGAAGAAGGCCGTCACCGACTTGAGGGCCACCCCCTTGCCCTGCTGCTCCGACAGGTCCTTGCTGGACTCCCACTTGTAGAAGGCCTCCTCCTTGATCACGTCCTCGTCGTAGAGGGCATCGAAGAACATCCGCAGCAGGTCTGGGGGGGGCGGATAAAAGGATCCGTGCCACTCCCCAGCCACCACCCCATAGTGACAGGGACGCGGCCGCCGCCCCCTCCCCGGGCCCGCTGACCCCCCCCCCGCCACTCACTGGGAGGCTGCTCCAGCTTCACCACCAAGGCCTGCAGGGCGTAGAGGGCCTGGAGCTCCTTCTGCTCGTCCCGCATGTATTTCTGCAGCAGCTTGGCCCGGTTGCGGATGACCGTGGCGTCGACGCGGTACGGGTTCTCAACTGGGGGATAAGAGGGGGTGAGGGACGGGCACAGAGACCCCCCCCCCGTGGCGGCCCCCGCCTCGCCCCAGCGCCAGCCCCACTCACAGACGATGGCTGAATGGCACACGGACGTCATCAGGGCCCTGATAAACATGTTGGATGAGACCTGCTCCTCGCTCAGGTTGGCCTGCGGGAGGGATGAGATGGGGGATGTAAGAGGGGGCCGAGCCACCAGCGTGCCCCCGGGTGCCCCCCAGGCATCCCGCCCGCAGCCCTGACCTCGATCCAGTCGTATATTCTTTGGTTGTTCGGGTTCTCCTTCAGCAGTTTGTCCATTTGCTTGCACAGCTCCTCTGAGGTCAGCTCCTTGCAGCTCGGCGTGTCCGAGCTGTCCCCCCCCATCGTGTACTCCAATTTCTGGGGGAGCAGGGGGAGAGAAGAAAACCCGTCACGGGGGCGGCACGAGGGGGACGCCACGCCGCCAACAGCGGGGCCGGGGGGTCCCCCACACGGCCCCTCACCTGCTCTGTGACAAATTTGTTGACGTCCTGGTCCTCGGGCAGGAATTCCTTCCAGCTCAGGCCCCCATCCCGCCACAGCTTGCCTGCGGTCTTCTGGCTCTGCGACAAAACCCAAAGTCAGCCCCGGGTGCTGCTGCTCCCCATCCCAAAACCAGCTGCCCCCAGCTCCCTGACGCACCAAGGGGCACTGCCAGGCCCCCAGACGCAGAGGGGTTTGACCCCAAACCCTGCTAACCCCCCCCCAGGAAGGCTGCCAGCCCCCAAACCCACGAGCACCCCGCACTTACCATGCCCTTGCACAACAAGCCCAGCACCTCGACCAGCAGCGTGGTGGCCTTCCCGATGGGCACCAGGGGTTTCGTTATCTCCCTGCGGGGCGCAATCAGCAGGGGCTGTTAGACGTGCCCCCGGGATCCCCTCCGGGACCCCAAAAGAAGCCCCGCAGCCCTCACCTGAACAGCTCCTCCATGGGGATGCCTTCCTCCTGCAGGATGGGCGTGATGAGCTCGGCCAGGTACAGCCAGATGTGCGGGATGTCGATCTCCATGTCCTCGGCGATCTCCAGGATCTCCCGCAGCCTGCAGGGCGAAGGAGGTTTGGGATCCAGCCGGGATCCAGCAGGCTCCGTGCCCTCCTCCGGGAGGAGCCTCGCGAGGTCTCTGGGATGGATTTAAAGCCAGGGGGGCTGCCTGGGGCTCCCTCACCCTTTGTAGTACTGCTCCTTGGAGAGCGTGCCCGCCTTCACCAGGTGGCACAGCAGCACGCCCATGTGCTCGCGGGAGATCGTGCTCCTCTCCAGCGTGGACTCGATGCCGTTCCGCACGAAAACGTAGAGCAAGGAGGGACTGCCCAGCTCCTGCACGCACTGCAGGGCCTCCTGCGGGAACAGTAGGGTCAGCGCCGCCCCGTGACAGCCCCCAGCTCCCCCTCCTCACCCCGGCACCACCGCCCGGGGGAGCGGACGGCATCCTACAGAGCCACAGGGTGCTACGCCCGGCCACCCGCTGCTCTCACCTTCATGTCATTGATGTGCAGATATTCCTCTATGATCGCCTTGGATTTCTTCTCCAGCTCCTCTTCTGACAGCGTGGGCTTGGGCGATGCTGCGGGAGCTGCTGGCTCTTGTTTTACTGCGGGGAGCACGAGGATCAGGCGCTGCCCTGCACCCAGACCCCGAGGACCTTTCCAAAATCCTCCCCAACTCACCGGGCTCTCGGCTCCGGTCCCGTTCCTCCGTCATGCTAGCAGCCTTGCGCACGGCCTCGGGGCCGCCCTGCTTCTCCCGTTCCCTGCTCCTGTCCTCCGTCTCCTTGCTGAAGCTCCTCTTGGTGAGGGCGGACCTGTTCCTCTCGCCTCGCTCCCCCCGCTCGGGGCGCTCCAGGCGGTCGCCGCTCTTCTCCGAACGCGACTCCCGGTCCCCTCTGTCCCCGGCCTTTTCTGACCTGTCACGGCTGGAGCTGCTCCTGGGCGGGAGGAGGAAGGAGGCGAGGTGAGGAGGGGGCACTGCCACCCGCCCTGACCCCAACCCGCGGAGCTACACGAGGCCAGGCAGCCTCACCCCAATCCCCAGCCCTCCCCAGTGCCTCCTCGAGGACTCGACTGCCCTCGCAGTATGATTCCAGCCTAGGCAGAGCCTGCTGTCTGCACATCC